TTGTTCATTGATGACATAATCTTATACCTAGAAAATCTCAAAGACTCCTCCAAAAGACTCATAGACTTGATCAACAACTTCAGTAAAGTTTTAGGATATAAAATCAATGTACAAAAATCAGTATCATTTTTATACACCAAATATTTTCAAGCTGAGAACTAAAGCAAAAACTCAATCCCATTTATAATAGCCACAGAAAAAAAATACAATACTGGAGTATATTTAACTAACGAGGTGAAAGATCTCTACAAGGAAAATTACAAAACACTGATGAAAGAAATTATACATAACACAAACAGACAAAAAAAATCCCATGCTCATGGATTGAAAGAATCAACGTCCTTAAAATAACCTACCCAAAGCCATCTGCAGATTCAACACAATACCTATCAAATTACCAATGTAATTCTTCACAGAATTAGAAAAAAACTATCCTAAAGTTGACATGGAACCAAAAAAGAGCCCAAATAACCAAAACAACCCTAAGCAACAAAAACGAAGCCAAAGGCATGGCATTACATTGCTTCAAATTATGCTAGAATGCTATAGTAACTAAAACAGCATGGTACTGGTACAAAAAAACACACATAGAATAGTGGAGCAGAATTCAGAACCCCAAAATAAAGCCATATACCTACAACCAGCTGATCTTTGACAAAGTCGACAAAAATAAACAATGGGGAAAGGGCACCCTATTCATTAAATGGTGCTAGGAAAATTATCTAGTCATATGCGGAAGAATGAAACTGGACCCTTTTCTCTCACCACATACAAAAATTAACACAAGCTGATTAAAGACATAAATGTAAGACGTGAAACTATAAAAGTCCCAGAAGAAAAACTAAGAAATACTCTTTTGGACATTGGTCTAGGCAAAGAATTTATGACTAAGACCCCAAAGGCAAATGCAATGAAAACAAAAATAGACAAATGGGACTTAAACTAAAAAGCTTCTGCACAGCAAAAGAAATAATCAGCAGAATAAACTGACAACCTACAGTATTACCTAAATAATGAGGCACCTTATATTACAGAAGCACATTATTTAACAAATTAAAAGACAGTATAATCACCATATGAGAGATCTATTTCTTATCTCCTCTTGCCCTTTCAGTCTCTTGTAGAAACTATTTGCAAATTATGCCTCTGACAAAGTGCTAATATCCAGAATCTACAAGGAACTCGACTCAACAAGAAAAAACAAAAAAATCCCATTAAAAAGTGGGTAATTCATGAGTTTGAGGCTACAGTGAGCTATGATTATACCACTGCACTGTACACTGGGCAACATAGCAGGGCAATCTCTTGCCAAAAAAAAAAAAAAAAAAAAAAAAAAAAAAAAAAAGGTTGGTAAAGGATATGAACAGACATTTCTCAAAAAAAGACAAACAGGAAGCCAACAAACATGTGAAAAATGCTCAACATCACTAATTTTCAGAGATACGCAAATTAAAACTACAATGAGATATCACCTTACTCTAGTAAGAACAGCTATTATTAAAAAATTATAAGGCCGGGTGCAGTGGCTCATGCCTGTAATCCCAGCACTTTGGGAGACCGAGGCAGGTGGATCACAAGGTTAGGCGATCGAGACCATCCTGGCTAACATAGTAGAAACTCCGTCTCTACTAAAAAAAAAAAAAAATTTGCCAGGCGTGGTGGCAGGCGCCAGTAGTCCCAGCTACTAGGGAGACTGAGGCAGGAGAATGGTGTGAACCCAGGAGGTGGAGCTTGCAGTGAGCCGAGATAGTGCCACTGTACTCCAGCCTGGGCGACAGAGCGAGACCAGACTCAAATAATAATAATAATAATAATAAAATAAAATTATAAAACAACAGATGGTAGCATGGATGTGGAGAAAAGGGAGCCCTTATACACCATTAGTGGGAGTGTAAATTAGCACAACGTCTATGGAAAATAGTATGGAGATTTCTCAAAGGACCTAGCATTCAACTCAGCCATCCCACCACTGGGCATCTACCCGAAAGTAAAGAAATCATTATACCAAAAAGCCGCCTGCACTTGTAGGTTTACAATGGCACTATTCACAATTGCAAAGTCACGGAGTCAACCTAAGTATCCATCAATGGATGAATGGATTTTTTTTTAATGTGGTATATATACACCATGGAATACTATGCAGCCACAAAAAAGAATGACATCATGTCCTTTGCAGCAACATGGATAGAGCTGGAGGCCATTATCCTAAGTGAAATAATTCAGAAACAGAAAATCAAATACTGTATGTTCTCACTTATACATGGGAACTACACCAAGGGTACACATGCACATACAGATGAAAATAATAGACACTGGGGACTCCGTAAAGGGGGAGGTTGAGATGGGAGTGAGGGTTAAAAAAGATTTACCTATTAGGTACAATGTTCACTATTTGGGTAATGGGTATGCTAGAAGCCCAAACCTTTCTGTTATGTAGTATATCCATGTAACAAATCTGCACATGTACCCCTGAATCTAAAATAAGTAAATACACTTTTTAAAAGAGAAAAAACAACCCAATTCTCTGATATGAGCAAGTCCCAGGGAAGTGTAATCAAGAAGATCCTCTGTAAAAATTATGGCCATTAAGCTCCACTGGGTTTCCCTGCAATTGTTTGTATGTATGTATACATAACAATAATTATATGTAAGTAGTATATAATTTTTTTACAGTATGTTACAGTATGTATATAATTCCCTCTGATGGACCCTAGATTCCTCAATATTTGCTATTTCTTTCAGGAAGGGGAAATAAAAGCAAATGAGTGTTGAAATGGTATGTTTTTTCCACTTATATGGGAAAACGTTGAGTCCTTTTCAGTCTCATTTATATTGTCTTGGTATTTAAGTGGCTGAGACTTTCTACTATTCTAAATACTATATTCTCTTTTCCTATGGCAGATAAAGAAGGAGGTAAGGAAAAAGAAAATAGTAAACATTGATATTCTGTTTTCTGATATTCACCTACTAGGTTCAGAAACCCTCCTTTGAAACTCTTGCCTCAAACTCCTAAATTAAAAAGGAAAAATGACTCATCCCACAATACTAGTGGTAAAATTAATTTAATTTGTATAATTTCTGCCTACATTTAGACGCCAAAAAATCAGAGCACAAAGACAGTGGAAGGCAAGACAGCAATGTTTGATATGTGTTATTAAGATTCAAAGTTGCAGGGCGCGGTGGCTCACGCCTGTAATCCCAGCACTTTGGAAGGCCGAGGCGGGCAGATCACGAGGTCAGGAGATCGAGACCATTCTGGCTAACATGGTGAAACCCTGTCTCTACTAAAAATGCAAAAAAAAAAAAAAAAAAAAAAAAAATTAGCCAGGCGTGGTGGCATGTGCCTGTAGTCCCTACTCAGGAGGCTGAGGCAGGAGAATCACTTGAACTCAGGAGGCGGAGGCTGCAGTGAGCCGAGATTGCACCATTAACTCCAGCCTGGGTGACACAGCAAGACTCTGTCTCAAAAAAAAAAAAAAAAAAAAAATTCAAAGTCAAATAATTTTCATCTGATGAAAGATTTATGATAAATGGTAATATCAAAGCTTTTTTCCCCCAAGTTTGAAAACAAATTACACAGCTGCTGCTGTACACCGTCTCCCAGACTCTGGAGTATTTTGAAGTCAAAACCTCTATACTCACCCGTAGATAAGATTATCTAAATGAATGGAGAATGGGAGATCAGAGATGCAGTGGAGTAAGTGGTGACAGGGAATTAGCTTCCTTTTCCTCATCTTGGTATCAAACAGTGGGTCTCTAACTTTCATTTAACTCCTTGATCCTCACAGAAGTAACTAATAACTGCATTTGTTGCTATTTCCAAGATAAAATTTAACCACATATGTCAAGTAATATATGGTTGACCCTTGAACAACAAGGATTTGAACTGCGTGAATCCACTTACAAGTGGAGTTTTTGCAACCAAACACAGATCAAAAATACAATATTTGTGGGATGTGAAACCTGCCTATAAGGAGGACTGAATTTTTGTACACACGGGTTCTGCTGAGCCAGCTGCTGGACTTGAGGATGTTCGGATTTTGGTATCCATAGTGGGAGGATTTTGGTATCCATATTTGAGATCCCGGAACCAAGTACCCTGTGGCTATCAAGGGTTAACTATATTTAACCTTTCTTCATGACCTTGTGGAAAGAGTAAAAGAAGGAAAAAATGTGTATGAGGGAGTAGGGGGGAGGGGGAATGTTATGAAGAAAGGAACTATGTGAACTAAGTTCAAAAATAACTGTGTGTGTTCTTTCTGACTTTCCAGTGTTTTCTTTCCATTTACAAGAACTCATTTGTGGAAACCAGATTAATCACAATAAGCAAACATTTCACTGTTGGCACATTCTATTACAAGACTTGTGAAAGGCATTTAGGATCAAATACTCAATACATATGAAGGGATTTGAAAGTTAAAATTGTTTTTAAGTTGTGACGTGTTAGAGGTAACAGTACAATCCCATTTTCCCAAATATATTTAAAATGTCTCTACAGTGTTACCTCAATGACACACCTTATATCGCAGAAGGAAATTACTTAACAAATTAATAAGACAGTATAATCAGCATATGAGAAATCTACTTCTTGTCTCCTCTTGCCTTTCCAGTCTCTTGTTGGCTTAAGTTTTTACCAGAATGATTTGGTAATATGAGGTGTGGAGGAGATAGAATGGGTGCGGTTTAGGAAAAGAATTTGATTCTGTGTATTGGACATTTTAAAGAAGGCTCTTAAAGCTCAATTTTTAATGCTTAAGAAATTAAATGACTTTTAAATGCACGATTCCCTATGAAATTAAATACATACTCATACTTGCCACAAAATACCGAAAGATAGACTGCCAAAATGTTCCCAAAATAAAGCTAGGCAAACTTATTCGAAAGCGAAACACACAAAACAGGGTAAGCAATCAGGATGTAAATATTCAACACAGCAGAGTATGCAATAAAATTATTTTACAAACTAAAATGTATCAGAGAGGATCCAAGAATAAGTTGATTTTAGAGTGGTCTGTGGAAAACTAAAGTAAACAAGAAAATATCTAGGGAAGTTTAAGAATGGGAGGAAATGAGTCATTGATAATATGCTTGCTCCAGAGGATAACCTTTGTACCAAACAGCAGAGAACTGACATCTAATCAGCAGAGGTTGGCCTTGGCAGTTTATGAAGGAATGTCCAGAGGGAGCACAGGGAAAGGCAGTCCAGTGATCCTTCCCTGAATTTTTTACTGTTCGATGTCAGCCTTTAATTCCCTTGAGATGGGGGAATTCAAATCCTAAGGATCCATAAACAGCAAGGCTTTTGCATTTACTATATTTAACATCTTGGAATTTAGTAAACATCACTTCTGTGGAAAGGTAAGTGAAAAAAAAAGATAATTTCTATTTTATGAAGTTTAACGTATATGCAGCGTGTGTGTGTATGCATATGTGTGTGTGGATAGAGTGTGATAAAATAAAGATAAAAACTCAAGGCCCAATGAAAGCTTTTAGAGAGATGCTTATATTCCCATGCCTTCATGACTGTAAATATATCCACTATGACTTATACTAGAAATTTATCCTTTGCTTTTGATATCTCAGCTACTTGTATCCCTCAGGACCACATTCTACTCCCACTAGTTTAATATGGGTTAGTAACCTTGCACTGTACCTTAAAAGCACTCAGAGTTTTAAATGTTCTATCACAAATATTAAGGATTCCTTCCCCGAATCATAAATGTGCTTTGCTTTCATTATAGTTATTCAATCTTTTCTAAGGCAGGTATCAATGATTTATATTAGTTAATGATTTAAAAGGAACACAAAAATAAGATTGTGCAATATGGAATTAGGAATCTCTTACAACTATATCAGTTCAAGTCTGGCTCTTGTTGTGAGTCAACCACATTTTTAAACTACCTAATAGCCTATGTTCAAGTCATTTTTACATATGCCTAACAAAAGAGATATAGGTGACAAGTGCCGTAAAACTATTTTATGTTTTTTGAGACAGGGTCTTACTCTGTTGCGCAGTGGGGAGTGCAGTGGCACAATTTCGGCTCACTGCAACCTCTGCCTCCTGGGTTCAAGCGATTCTCCCACTTCAGCCTCCCAAGTAGCTGGGACTACAGGCACGCAACACCACACCCGGCTAATTTTTGTATTTTTTGTAGAAATTGGATTTCACCACGTTGGCCAGGCTGGTCTCAAACTCCTAACCTCAAGGGATCCACCTGCCTTGGCCTCCCAAAGTGTTGGGATTACAGGTGTGAGCCATCACGCCCGGCCTGCAAAACTTATTATAGTCCAGTGAGCTACAGTCAATACCCATTTCAAGTTTCCAGTAGCTGATTTCAAGTTATGAGGTGGAGCATTGGCAAGCCCACAGTGCTGATCTGTATGACAATTGGTAACTTCAATTCTAGTTTGATGTGATTGACATGATTGAGGAAAGGATATGACTGAGTCCAGAAAGGTTGAGAGTTGCCTGCTGACATTGCTACCATTCACCCTTCCTTATTCTAGAGGCCTTGGCTAGTGTGTCATTAAAAAATGTATTTCAAAGGAATACTTCATGACAATGAAGTGCTCATATGTAGTGATTAGACAACAGTTTACAAAACAATATGTTTAGTAATATTTGGTAAAAACAATACAAACACACAGAAGACTGGAAAGTTATACCCCAAAATGTTACAATTATAGTAGACAGAGTAGGTTTTATTTCCTTCTTTATACTTTTTCGCATTTTTCAGTTTCCACAAATTTTTATTCATAATGCGTTACTCATTTATTTATTTATTTACTTTTACTTCAAGTTCTAGGATATATGTGCAGAACGCGCAGGTTTGCTAAATAGGTATATGTGTGCCATGGTAGTTTGCTGCACCTATCAACCTGTCACCTGGGTTTTCAGCCCCACATGCATTAACTATTTGTCCTGATACTCTCCCTCCTCTCAACCCCCCCCCCCGACAGGTCCTGATGTATGTTGTTCCCCTCCCTGTGTCCATGTGTTCTCATTGTTCAACTCCCACTTATGAGTGAGAATATAAGGTGTTTGGTTTTCTGTTCCTGTGTTAGTTTTCTGAGGATGATGGCTTCCAGCTTCATCCATGTCCTTGCAAAGGACATGATCTCATTCCTTTTTACGGCTGCATAGTATTCCATAATGCATATGTACCACATTTTCTGTATCCAGTCTATCATTGATGAACACTTGGGTTGGTTCCATGCCTTTGCTATTGTGAATAGTGCAATGCATTACTTTTATAAACACACACAAGTCACTTGAAAAGAGTAAATACATTTCACCTCAAGGTATAAATATTAAAAATATTTTGAAAAAGTGAATTTGAGCAGGAAATTACCCTACTGTTATTAAAATGCTATGCCATGGACACAGTAATCCAAAGAAGGATGAATGAAACTAAATAGAGGATCCAGAAATATGGCCTAGCACATAAAAGAAGTTAATTTATGATACATCAATCATCACAGAATTGTGGGAAAAAATGTTTGCTCAATAAACCGTAAATAGTAAATAGTAAAAAAAAATTTGAGGAAATATAGATGAATATTGATTTGATCTTTGGTTTAAAAGAATCTCAGGCATATAAACAATAAAAAACATCCAGAGATTTGACTAAATAAAAACTTTTTAAATTTTGTAAATAATAAAAACATGTAAAATTAGAAGGCAAACTAAGAAAAAGTATTTGCAACAAATGTGAATAAAGGTTGTGACAAATGATTAATTCAATTGTTAATTGGATTAAACAAGGTAAATAGTAAGACTACAATATTGCTACTCTGTGGACATCATGAAAGCACAGACATAATGTATTGTTCATTATTTAGACTGTTAGCATAATGATCAGAACATAATACAAGGAATTATTATGTATTGATGAATTGAGAAATGGTCAAACATGAAAATATGACTAAAAAAATGTAGAAGGTGGTGGAGGAGAAGGGGAAATATTAATGGCCAAGAGACATGGGAAAACATTCTTTCAGTAATGAAAATGCAATTGAAGGTATGTTGAGAAGTCAGGAGAGGTTTTTTTGGCATTGTGTATGTGGTGACAGATGCAGTAATAAGAGGGGCCACATCCTTCACAGTGAAGAGTGTCTTGAATAGGTAAAATCATATTGTCAACTGAAATTCTAGGAATCTAACCTAAAGAGATATAACAGACACTTGATCTTTAGGAAGGGTATATCTTCCAGACTCTTGGATTTTCCAAATGTCTGTTTTCACACTGTGTTCCAAGGAGCCCTGGGGTTCTGCAGAGGCATCCCAAAGTCAGCTTCAAAGATAGGAAGAAGGTTTCTCCAATGCTGCCTCAACCAGAGCAATTTGGCATTTATCTAATTTTTATGTTAGATTACATGTAAGAACTTTTTTCTTAAAGATTCCACTGAAAACATCAAAATGTGGACACCACTGTACGGTATATATAATTTCTTCAATAAAATGCAATGGAGCGTTACTTCTCAAAAACTACCAGAGAAGTGGAGAGTAGTCAGAGTGTTATAGTCCCAAACACTGGCCTCACAGCATTAATTTAAATCCCTGTTTCAGGAAATGTGTAAATCACTCTATAATTACCTTGCAAATAGTCAAAAGCTCGGATATAAAATCTGAAAATATCCAGGGCCTGTTGCAATAAGGATAAAAGATTTGTGTTCCATGACGATCAACTGTGTCCTTTGATATATTTAGTCTGTCATAACAGGAACAATTTCCACTCAAATGTTTCAGCTGAAGAGATTTTACTGAGGGAACTATTTATAGAAGTTAGGGTCAGGGTTAGATGAAAGGAAACAACAAGAAACATGTAGGTACCCAGGAGTTAGCACAGCTAGGCCTGAAGAAATAAGGGAAGGGAATCATGTTAGTAGAGCCCAGTGAAGGCTGGCACAGTGGAGCAGGGCTGCCTTGCAGGAGGAGCCTTCGAGGGACAAAGCCACCACCAGAACCCAGCCAGAAGCAGGAAAAGAGGTGGTGAGACATATCCTAACCTTTTTTCCTTTTCCATCCTCCAAGCTACTGATGGTGTTACACACTGGTCAAAACCAACTGGCATGAGAACCCAGCTGGAATCGTTTATGAAAAATTCCACCTTCTGAGGCACAGAGTCTAGCAGAGAAGAGCTGAAGATGGCACTAGAAGACAACAAGTGGAGAATAACCAGCATACTTATAACAGTGAAATACAAGTGCCCCCTCATCTCTGGGGGATACGTTCCAAGACCCCTCATGGATATCTGAAACTGCCGATAGTACTGAACCCTATGTATACGATGTTTTTTCCCTATACATACCTATCTATGATAAAGTTTAAGTTATTAATATAAATAAGGCACAATGAGAGATTAACAACAATTACTGCTAATAAAATAGAATAGCCAGGCACAGTGGCTCATGCCTGTAATCCCAGCTCTTTGGAAAACCGAAGCGGGAAGATTACTTGAGGCCAGGAGTTCTTGGGCAACAGAGTAAGACTCCATCTGTACAAAAAATTAAAAAATTAGCTGGGCATGGTGATGCACACCTGCAGTCCCAGCTACTTGGGAGGCTGAGGCAGGAAGATCACTTGAGCCAAAGAGTTTGAGGTGTGGTGAGCTATGATTGCACCACTGCACTCCAGCCTGGGTGACAGAATGAAGCCCTGTCTCTAAAAATAAAACAGAAAAGTGAAATAAGATAGAACAGTTATACAAATATATTTTAATAAAAGTTATACACTGTGGCCATAACTTTTGCAGTTTGAGGTACAACAGCAAAACTAACATGAATTTCTTTTTCCTTCACAATTTCACAGGTAGAAGATTCATTCTTATCATAGATCTTAGTGACCTCAGCATAAGGATTTTTTTCTTTTCTTACTAATTGAAAAACTTTCGCCTTTTCACTTAAAAGAAGTACTTTATTACTTTCTGGAATTTTTCATTTAACATTTTCAGATCTTGGTCGATCCTAACTGAAACTTTGGAAGCAAAACCACAGATAAGGGGAAACTACTGTACTGGGAACTCAGATGTTCGATAATAGAGGAAACCTTAACTAAATAATGACATTAACCATTCTGCAATTAAATAAAAGTGCTCAGAAGACCATTATGTAATCGGGGAGTACAGAAGAGAGAGCAACCAACTACTTACACATATTGTAATAAAAGATTTTCCCAAATTAACAAATGAGGTGCTTTGTTGTCCCCCAAGCAAAGTTTCTTATATTTTTGCTAATTATATAAACAATACATTTCATTATGGGAAACACATACATAAAACAAAAAACAAATATCTACAATTCCATCCCCTGCCCTAGCGCACTATAAATATGTTTGTATCTTTCCAGATTTTTTTCTATGCACTTATATACACATGATTATGTTGTTTTGGGGATCACACCATATTATTCTGTAAACTGTATTTTCCACTTAATAAATCATAAATACTATTTTATGCAATAGATACCACTCTCCAACATTTTAAAATTTTAACACTTTTTAAAAACTTGCCACCGTGTATCTAGTTGTAACTAATTTTTATTCTCAGACATTTAGTTTGGTTTCTCTTTTGGCCATTACCAAATGTACTGTGATGAGATTTTACATTTTGGGGGTGATATAGTTTGGATGTCCCATTCAAATTTCATGTTGAGATAGACTCCCCAGTTTTGGAGGTGGAGCCTGGTGGGAGGTGTTTGGATCATAGGGGCGGATCACTCATGAATGGCTTGGGCCATCTCCTTGGTGATAAGTGTGCTCTCACTCTGAGCTCACAGGGATCTCATTGTTTATGTGGCTCCTCCCCCCTCCCTCCAACTCCTTCTTGCTCCTGCTCCCACCATGTGAGACACCTGCTCCCCATCACCTTCCAGCATGATTGGAAGCTTCCTGAGGCCTCCCCAGAAGCAGATGCCATTATGCTTCCTGTACAGCCTGCAGAACCGTGAGCCAGTTAAACCTCTTTTCATTTAAATTAACCAGCCTCAGGTATTTCTTTATAGGAATGCAAGAACGCCTAACAAGGGTCTGGGGGAGGGAGGGCAGTTTTTAAACATACACACAGAAGAAAAGCAACAGAGACAGATGTGGCCTTCAAAGCACAAAGTATTTGCCATCTGACCTTTTATAGAAAATGTTTGCATTATAAATTTCCAGGAATGTAATTTTTGAGTCAAAGTGTGTGAACATTTTTGAGGCTTTCACTACATTCTGTCAAATTGCTCTCCAGAATTGTTGAGCCAATTTATACCCTTCTCAGTAATGCCTGAGCTTTTTTCAGTTGCTACACGTCCTACCCCAAGGGTCACTGGCCAAAATTACTAGCTCTGAGTATTATTTTATTCTCAATTTGATGGTGCGTTATCGTTTTCAGTTTTCACTTCTCTTAAAAATGTTTGGCCATTTACATTTTCTCTCCTGATAACGAATTTGCATTTTGCTCATTTTTAAGAGGATACTTTTTCTTTCTAAGTCCTCTTTAATAAGAATGTTACGCTTATCTTTCATGTATATTGCAGATTTTTTATAATTTTTACTTGTTTTTAAATTTTATTCTATGGAGTTTTTTTTGTTTTTGTTTTTTAGATAAAAGAAGTTAAAAGTTCAACAGTCAGATTTGTCACTTTTCCTTTGTAATTTCAGCCTTTGTTTCAAGCTTAGTTTGAGATTAAAAGCAATTCACATGTATTTTCTCCTTGACCTTTTAAGACTTAAAAACATTTAAATCTTTTAATCCTGTTCAAATTTAGTGTCTGGGAAACGTTTTAGAAGGATGAATAGGTAACATTACATTAGTCTTGGAGTCAGATTGCTGGGTTCAAAGTTAGCCTCACCACATACTATATATTTGTGCAAATCTCTTAAACTCTTTAAGTCTTAGTTTTCTTGTTTATAAAATGGAGATAACAGTAACATTTACCATAGGGTTGATGTAAGAATCAACAGTTATAAATCGCAGAAAGCACTTAGCACAGTGTCATTAGCTATTATTATAGCAGCAAGAGAATGTTCTCCCAGGCAAAAGCAATAACATGTATAAAGGTGCAAATGTATGAAATCTGTTTGCATATTCAGGAAACTAGATGTGGTGTAGTAAAATGAGGTGTAATATTGAGGAGTGATTGACCTTGAATGAGTTGCTTAGGAACTTGCTCTTGATATTATCAGAGATTGGGAGCCAATGAAAGCTTTTAAGCAAGCAAGAAACCCTCCAGATGTGTGGTAGCAAAGTGGAAAATGGACTAGATTCCGCCAGGTGCAGTGGCTCAGGCCTGTAAGGCTAGCACTTTGGAAGACTGAGGTGGGCGGATCCCCCGAGGTCAGGAGTTCGAGACCAGCCTGGCCAACATGGTGAAACCTCATCTCTACTAAAAATACAAAATTAGCTGGGCATGGCAGGCGCCTGGTAGGGAGGCTGAGGTGGGAGAATCGCTTGAACCAAGGAGGCAGAGGTTGCAGTGAGCCAAGATCATGCCACTGCACTCCAGCCTGGGCAACAGACACTCTACCTCAAAAAAAAAAAAAAGAAAAAGAAAAAGAAAATGTACTAGATTCATATCCCTTGCTCCACCCTGCCTTCCCCAAATTTAAATTCCTGCTTCCTAGAGGCAAATTCTTTCACCGTCTATGTCTCTGGTATTTATCTCCTTACTTTTAAGAATCATGTTTAAATTGTTTCTTGATTTTGCCATCATAGATATGATTATGAGGCTAATTAAACAGTAACCCTAACCAGCTCTGAGAATAGACCTAAGAAATGAATGTGAGAAAGAAAGTAGAAGCAGCCCACTTGGTAGGGAGTGAAAGCCAGAGAAGGGTGGGAGGATGCGGGGAGAAACTGTGTCAAGTTGGAGACCCCAGGAGCAGGCTGGGAGCAGTACCATGAGTTCCATTCAAGAAGCCAAACGTTTTAAGCACCGTTTCCTGAAGTTTGCCAAGTTGAGTACTGCCCCAGCCTCGTGTCTTGGTGGTTCCTCACTGCTGAAGAGGACCAAGTGTTGACAACTCAGTGAGGCAGTCTCAGCTAGTGTGGAAAAATATAGCTAAGAAAACGTGCCAGATAGAGCTTTAAGCAGAGCTTCCCAACTGGATGCCATGAAACGAATGACAGGGATGCAGACACAGCACGGGTCTTCTCAGTCCTCCAGGTGCAAGGGCCCATTCGCCTTCTGCAGGAGCAGCCTCTTCTGTTTACCCCCATTTTGAGCCTTGTAATATCATCCTTTCCTACCTGTGCCAAGAAGTGAAAAGGTGTGCGAAGCGCCGCTTTAGAAGGCCCAGTGCATTCACAAACATCAGCTTCTGGGCGAGACTGCTTGGCCTCTTCTACTTAAAAGCTTTGTGTTGCCTTTTTAAGGTTTCTATTCCCCCACCCCCACCCCGCCCACCAATACCCATTCCTACCTCCCTCTACGGTTCAAAACCCAAACCATCCTTAAGGCACACTGAGTATCACAGCATCAAAGGCTGGAGAGAGATGAGTTCCCCACCCTTGATGCGCTTCCTGTCCGGGTGACCCGAGGCCCACTTCTTAAGCGGTAAGGCCCAGAGACACTGCTGTGGCTTGAGGAACATCCAGTACACCTGGCATTTCCATTAGAACAGTGGGACCCGGATACCACTGGCAGGAAGTCCATCTTCACAGTTGCCAACCCATCTGTCAAACCCGCAGTCCCCTATGAGAGTACAGATGAATGGAGGAGGAAGATTTAAAAGTGAATTCGTGGGCGGCGACAAGGAAACAGCAGCCGTGGCCGAGCGGACCCCAGAGCCCTTCCCTTCTTGGCCCTCCCTCTGAATCATCGCGCTCCACTTGTGACGTCGCGGACGCCCGGCTCGGGCAGGCGTGGGGGGCCCGCGCGTCCGGGAGCCCCGAGGCGGCAGCGCGCGTTTCCACGCTGCGGTGCCGCGGGAAAGCCGGAGGCGGAGGCCTGGCTCAGGCAGAGCTCGGATCCGGTGCCGAGCCGAGCGGGACAGCGCGTCGCCCGGGCTTCGCCTTCGCTCGCTTGACCTCCGCCGTCCTCTCCAGCCCTCGTCCTCTGGCCGCGCGTGCGGCCGCAAGCCCAGCACCCCTAGCCTAACCTCGCGCCCGGGCCGCGCCTCCTCCTCCCACTCCTCCTGCTCTCCTCCCCCGCCGCTTCCGTTTCTCGAGGGAAAGGCTGCTGCCTCCTGCTCTGTCCGCATCCCCTGCTTAGGTAATACGTTTTCCTCCTTACGCCACCCGCCACCGGGTCCCCGTGCCGCTGCCCCTCCTTCTCGGATCTGGGCCCCGGGCTGGTGAGCGGCGCGCGCCGTCGCCTCTCCGCTGGTAGGTGAGTCGATGGCGCCGGGAGGGCTCCTCGCCTCTGCGCGCCGGCCTGCGAGGTCCCTGCCCCGGCAGCGAGGCCGCCCTGGACCCGGCCCGGCCGGGCCAGGCATGCCCGGCATCGCCGCTGCAGCCAGCGCAGAGAGGAGCTCGCGAGTCCCGCGGCGCCCTTGGCCCTGCCGGAGCGGCCCGAAGGGGATGGGGGGCGGGAAGAAAGGGTGGCAAACAACGATTTAAAAAAATCTAATCATTAGCATTTGTAGGACGAAGAAGCTGATCTGACAGTTGTCCAGAGCAGTGGCCCAGCTGCAACAGGTAGATGGCGCAGCTGTCAGTGGCCTCTTGGTCTCACCCTTGGCTTTGAGAGATGCTTCTGAGTGTCCCTAGCTACCGGCTACCTCCAGTGACCTACTTGATGAGTGTAAAATAAACATGATGGGACTATATTTAGAAAAATCTTTACTTCCTTGCTGTTAATTCTCTCTGCATTTTGAAAGGTGGTTTTGTGAGGCGTGCATAATTAGTTGGTGTGTCCAGAGTGGTAGCTGGAAAAAAATATTTAACCTGGGTTTGGCCCTATCATGTAGACGGTTAGGCGCAGAGTGTGAAAGGAAACGCTTACTTTAGTGCATCTATGAAAAACACTTATAAGAAACCACGGCGTGTTTTTTGGAGATTTCTCGTTTTAAAGCTATTTTTAAAGTGTTGAATAAGCAGAAGTTTGCCCACTGTATGATCGTGTTCACTTCAAAAGAACAGTGGGTTCAAAGTATGGACAGACCACTTAAGTGGATCCCATCTGTTGAGTAAAAGATTTTTTAGCCCTTTTACTCTGATTCCTAGCTTTGAAGCCAGAAAAGTTGATAAGGATCAGCCCTGCTCAACTTGATAATAGTATAAGGATGAAAGTAATCCACTGAACTACTCTTGACTGGTGTATTAGCTAAGTGATCTCATTCTTACCTTTTTTTTTTTTTTTTTTTTTTTTTTTTTTTTTTGAGACGGAGTCTCGCTCTGTCGCCCAGGCTGGAGTGCAGTGGCGCGATCTTGGCTCACTGCAAGCTCTGCCTCCCAGGTTCACGCCATTCTCCTGCCTCAGCCTCTGAGTAGCTGGGACTACAGGCGTCTACCACCACGCCCGGCTGATTTTTTTTTTTTTTTTTGTATTTTTATTAAAGATGGGGTTTCACCGTGTTAGCCAGGATGGTCTCGATCTCCTGATCTCGTAATCCGCCCGCCTTGGCCTTCCAAAGTGCTGGGATTACAGGCGTGAACCACCGCGCCCGGCTCATTCTTACCTTTTAAAATAGAGAACATAAGTGAAAACATAAAGGCAATGGAATAATTCGTTTTTTCAATACAGACATTTGTTTCCATTCTTATGTAGAGCCTACTTTATTTTTAAGTTTTTGTGGATTTTTATACTACTTTTGAAGTTAGCTCTTAGTCATGAAGAGAATTATGTCAAATACATAGAGTTACACTGTACTTTTTGCGTAGAATAAGCTACCACTTTTCAAGCTTTTGAAATAAACCACCACTTGCCTGGAAATTGCAGCTTTCACTAATGCCCTTTAAAATGATATACCTTATTATAGATTTAAATTATAGCTTTACTTGTTATAGTCCTGAAAAAAATGAAAAGATAATTTCTTGTTTGACTTAGAAGGCCTGTGAGACAAAAGTTATAAAGGTTATTATATATTTATTTTACTTTTTAATTCTGTCTCTAATAACAATTAGAAAATGTCTCATTCTATTTCATGTTATACAGAAACTGCTTAAAAGATAATTATGTTATATAAAGTGATCAATGAAAACAAATGTCATCTTCATTTTTTAAAGGTGAGGATGGTATATATAAGCACTTTTTCCAGATGTGAGTCCTTATGAATGTTCTTGTTAAGATACTTTGAATCTTGTAATGAAGTTAATAAAACTATGTTAATGTGTTTGTTTGGCTGAGAGCTTAGACATAAAGGCTCTGGCTGGCATGGTGGCTCACGCCTGTTATCCCTGCACTTTGGGAGGCCAAGGTGGGTGGATCACTTGAGGTTAGGAGTTCGAGACCAGCCAGGCTGACATGGTGAAGCCCCTGTCTGTAGTAAAAATACAAAAATTAGCCAGGTGTGGTAGCAAGCACCTGTAGTCCCAGCTACTCAGGAGGCTGAGGCAGGAGGATCCCTGGAACCCAGGAATCAGAGTTTGTGGTGAGCCCAGATCATGCCACTGCACTCCAGCCTGGGCGACAAAGTGAGACTTCATCTCAAAAAATAAAAATTAAGTTAAAATTTAAAAAATAAAAGTTCTGTTTCCCATCTCCTGTGATTGATTTTGCGTACTGTTTCTCAAACTTGTCTGATTGTAAAATTCCTCAGGGTAGTAGGCAAGTGGGGGAGTGGGTAGAGTATAAAAGTGGTTTAAAAGATTCCCAGATTGCAACGTCAGACTTCCTGGATTAGAATTTCTAAGAGAAAGGAGATATTTCAAATAGACAAAAATGATAAAATTTTAAAGTAGTCAACAATAACAAAAAAAGGTGAGTTTGGGAAATGCAGGTGGGAAATGACTATTGTTGGAATGAAGAGTTGATATAACTTATTAAGACTCCTGTACATGAAATGTTCAAATATGGAAACTATGATTTTATTAATATGATGATGCCACTCATTTAGGAAATCTGAAACTTTTATATTTTTTTCTGGTCAACTTTCTGCTGATCAAATTTAGCAAACATATTTTTGTCTTTTTTATGTGGTATGTAATACTAATTCAAGTTCTGGAATGTGATAAGAGCATTTTATTAATGGATGACTAATGCAGATTACTGTAACTAGTATCCACAGCAAAATATTGTACCTAATAATTTCTCTTTCTTTTTCTTCTTTTTTTCTTGAGAAAAGGTCACACTCTGTCATCCAGGCTGGAGTACAGTGGTGTGATCATGGCTCATGCAGCCTTTACCTCTCAGGCTCAAGCAGTCCTCCCACTCCAGGCTCCCGAGTATCTGGGACTACAGGCACGTGCCACCATCCCAGCTAATTTTTAAAATTTTGTAAAAATGGAGTCCCACTATGTTGCCCAGGCTGGTCTCAAACTCCTGGGGGCTCATGACATCCTTTTGCCTCAGCCTCCCAAAGTGCTGGGATTACAGGTGTGAGCTGCTACACCCAGCCTAATTTTTTTCATATTAGAGATTTGTTACCTTTTCCACGTACCTGATTAAATACAGGTAAGGCAGGCATGCAAATTTGAATACCTTATTTGTAGCTTTCTTTTTTTTTTTTTTTCTTTTTTTTTTTTTAGATGGAGCCTCACTCTGTCGCCCAGGCTAGAGTGCAGTGGTTCGATCTCGGCTCACTGCAACCTCTGCCTCCTGGGTTCAAGCGATTCTCCTGCCTCAGGCTCCCAAGTAGCTGGGACCACAGATGCCCGCTACCACGCCAGGCTAATTTTTTGTATTTTTAGTAGAGATGGGGTTTCTCTGTGTTAGCCAGGATGGTCTCGATCTCCTGACCTCTTGATCCACCCGCCTTGGCCTCCCAAAGTGCTGGGATTACAGGTGTGAGCCACCACACCTGGCTCCTTATTTGTAGCTTTTTAAAAAATGACTCCCAACCCCATTCAAAAAAGAAAAAAAAAATTTACTTGGCCATGAAACTTGGTCAATTATATATAAAAAATTAACGAAATGGAATATTAAATACCTATAAAATAATTTGACAAGATGAGTTACCACAATGGAAAAATGTCAGAATTTATTTTCCTTTTCTTTCTTCCTCTTTACATTCCTTTTTTTTTTTCTCCTTTTTATTGGGGGGATGGAGGGTGTGTGTTATTTGCTCATTTGTTTTTATTTTTAACCAACTAAATATTTAAAATATACTAAATTAATTATCCATGTTTAAATTAATTTAAGTATTTGCCAACTTTACCAATAGATGTTTAAACTTGCCCTTTTCCTCTAAAGTGACAATGGTAGGCTTTGCTCAATGCAAATGAAAGTGATAATTCATATCAAAGGGGTTAAATTCAAGTGACCAAAGAAAATTGTTCTTTTAATATTGCTTAAGGAAAGCATAATAAGTTGATGCCATCATTTTTCATTATCAGCAACTTTTAAAATGAGGATGGAGGCCGGGCGCAGTGGCTCATGCCTGTAATCCCAGCACTCTGGGAGGCCAAGGCGGGTGGATCACCTGAGGTCAGGAGTTTGAGACCAGCCTGGCCAATATGGTGACACCTGGTCTCTACTAAAAATACAAAAATTAGCCAGGCATGGTAGCGCGTGCCTGTAATCCCAGCTAGCAGGGGGGCTAAGGCAGGAGAATCGCTGAACCTGGAAGGCACAGGTTGCAGTGAGTCAAGATCATGCCACTGCACTCCAGCCTGGGCAACAGAGTGAGACTCCATCTCAAAAACAAAACAAAACAAAACGCCGGTGTGGTTGCTGTATGAAATCAAAGACAAATAGCCTAGTGCCCTTCTTTAAACCTAATTTTCCTACCACTACCCCAACTTGTTTTTTAAAAATATAAGTCAACGAATGTTTATTATGCCTTTATTATGTAGATGATAAACATTAAAAGCTTTTGAAATGTGCATTTCTTTGAACCTATAATTTTTCTTTAAAAAAAATTGTGGTAAAAGATATCTAATATCAAATTTACCATTTTAACCATTTTCAAATTACAACTCAGTGGCATTAAGTACATTCACATTGTTATGCAACTATCAGCAGTGTTCACATCCAGAACTTTTTCATCATCCCAAACAAAAACTCTACACCCATTAAACAATGACTCTACTCTCTCTTCCCAGCCCTGGTAACCACCATCCTACTTTCTGGCTCTACGAATTTGACATTCTGAGTACTTCATATAAGTGGAA